TGCTGGGTGCGGCCGCGCAGGGACCAGCGCTCAGGGTGGGGGCGGCCCGGCTGTGCCGCTCCTGGGCCACGGAGATCGGCGCCTTCTGAGCCCTCGGTGCCCGCTGCCCGTGGACCGGCCGACCGGGCGCCTCTCCTGTTTGCGGAAGCCAAGGACCCATCCGGAAGATTCTCTTTGCTGTCCCCTCGCCTCGCTCCTCACGCTGCCTTCCTCGCCTCACCATCGCTCATCCTCTCCTTCGCCGTGCCCACAAATGTCAGCGCCATCCGCTTCCACGCGATCTCTGGGATGGGAGGCACTGCAGACCCCGGCCCTCCGGCAGAGCCCGACACTGTTGTCTGCTGCCTTATCTCCTCGGGGACTCGGAGCTCCTGGATGGACTCACTCAGGCAGTGTCCCCCAGCTGCAGCACCCAGTTCTGTGGTCTTGGGATTGGTTCTGCTGCCCTGACTGAACGCCGCTCTCCTCGCTGAGCCCCAAATCATCCTGCTCACAGCGGAGCGCTGCTGGGCTCCCACTGGCAGCCCTCAGCCCACAGCCGGGTGTGAAAAGGTGAGACACGGGATTTCAAAGGGACTCAGCGGGGAGGGGACGACTCCGACACCGATGTGAGAAGAGCAGCCCTTCCCTCTGCCCGTTGCCCTGCAGGAGCCGTCTCACCTCTTTCCCCACCGAGTGCGCAGTGCAGAGCGGTCAGACCAGCATTCCAAGTGCCTCCCAGTTTTCTCTTGGCCCTTCTCCTCCCACAGTGCCTCTGTTTTCTCTCTCCAGCACCGTGTCGTGGTCTCATGTTGCTCACCCCTGGGCCAGGACCAGACACCATGGGTGCTGCGCTGCAGCCCTTGGCCGGCACCGGGTCTGCACTTGTCCCATTCCCAAGAGTTTTTCCTGCCCTGCCGTGCACCCTGGATAACCAGTGCTGCAGAATCACCCTTGCTCCTGTCCTCTCACCCCCTCTCCTCCTGGCAGGGAGGAACACAAACTCGAAGCTCTCAAGCTCTGGAGCCGCATCCCTGCAGTGCTCAGGGCTGGGTGTCCCAGCGCTCGCCCTTTCCGTGGGGCTGTGCCTGGATCTGTGCCTTCGTTTGCCGGGATGGACCTGGCCCCAGCTGCACACCCACCCCAAGGATCTCCCCAGATCAGCAGCTGTGGCCCAAAAAGAAAAGTGTGTAGAGGTGAGCGCAGCAGTGGAAAAGACGGAGAAGCTCCGTCCTGGCAGAGACTCTCCCCCACCCCAGGAGGAAGGCGCAGCGTGCCGGGCTGCGTTCCTGCAGAGCACATGATGTGTGCAGCACTGCTGCTCGAGAGTGAGTCCTCCTGGTTGTTCTGCTGAATGCCACTGCACTTAACATACAGAAACACCTCTGCTGCTCTTCCTCACCCCTGTTCCTCAGTGTCAGAAGCAGCCGGGAACAATTTCCCTCGCAGTAAAGTCAGAGGAAGCCGTGGCCCCGGCTGTTCCTCGGTGTGCCAGAGCTGCAGCAAGCAGCCCGGCCTCGCTCTGTTAGAGTCACAGCTGTGACATCCAGCAAAAGTGGCAAATAAAATCTTTCCAACCCCTGTTGGTGTGAAATGCAGTGTTGATGTGCAGCTGTTCTGCCTGTCTGGCTGCTGGGACGACCATCGGCTTTGCAGCAGAGGATCTTTGTTGAGGTGTAGTGTAAGGGAACGTCCCCAACAGGAACGCTGCTTGTGAGGGCTTCTCCCATGACTTTTTACTTTGCAAACAACTGCATGAGTTGAAATTAGCAGGGAACTTGTAGCGCTCGCCCTGAGGTTGGCAATAATCCATGGCTTGAGAACAACTCATTTCATTTAGCTCACAGCATCCACAGAAATGCCATGGGACACACTGAGGCCAATCCTGCAGCCAGACTGCAGGGCTGCCCTCTGTCTGCTGACCCTCTGTGAGCAGAACCAGAGTCACCTCTCAGCTCCACGCCGGTGGGAAATGCTCCGCACAGAACCGCAGCTGAGAATGGCCTCTGTTCAGAGGGGAGGATCGTCAGCGATCCCGGCCATGAAAGAGGCTGGGAGAATTTGCTGGGGAATGGTGAAAATTCAACTTCCTTTCCCATAACTCCTTCTCACTCCAAAATGCCTTTCCAAAACGCCCATAAATCCTCGCCTTAAGTGCTGTGTTGGGAATTGCTGGAAAGGAGCAACTGCAGCTGCGAGGAGGAAGGCAGCATCCGTCTGGGAGCAGAGAGAGCAATAATGGGGCCATTGAGCACAGCCACCCCCGGTGCCCGGGCTGCCCGACGCGGAGGGGATGGCAGGGGGGGCCCAGCCCTGCACGGCTCGGGTTTGGGAGGCGTTCACCGACAGCCCCGCGGGCTGCAGGGTAAAGCAAAGCGGGGACTGCGAGAAACCACTTCCTGAATGCTGCACATCAAACGGTGGGAGGCATCGCTCCGGGCCTCGGGGGTTTTCTCCCCACAGTAGCGCGCAGATTACAGTGGTAGGTGAGGAATGGATCTTTGCTTCTTTTTCCCAGGGTTTTTCTAAGATTAAACATCTCCGGTAACACATCCTGGCACCTTTTGATCTGCCCTGTAGGGGAAATCCCCGAAGTCCCCCGAGCATCCTTGTTCTTCAGGCTAAAAACACAATGGAGAGCCTATGGGAACGCGGGGCTGTGGTTGGTGCGGTCTGGCGGGGGCCGTGGGTGGCGCACGGCAGCGCTGAGCCCCTCGGCGCCGCGCTGCAGGCCGGCACACGGCAGCGCCGAGCGCCTTTCCACGCCGGCCGCTCTCGCCGTCACGCGGCGCGGCGCCGCTGCCCCCTGCCGGCCCTCCGGACCGGACGCCGCCACGGCCGGCAGGGAGCGCCTCTCGCCCCGCGGTCCTCCCTGCCGCAAGGCGGCGCTGCAGCGGACGGCGCGCCGCAAGGACCGCTCCTGCCGCCTCCTCCCCGCCGCACGCGGCTCTCACGGCGCCGCGGCGGCTATAAAGGGGCGGGAGCCGCGCACCGCCCCTTCTCTGCCCGCTGGGCCGCAGTGCGTGAGTGGGGCCGGGAGGAGGAGGAGGAGGAGGCGGGGGGGAGGGCGGCCGCGGCCCGGTGCGATCCCGGCCGCCGCGTGGGGCTGCGCCCATCGGGGGCGCTCGGTTGGGTCGGCGCGGGTCGCGGCGCGCCGTTCGCCGCGTTCTGGCTCTGGTCCCGCCCGCTGGCAGCGCCGCCTCTGACCCGCGTTTCTCCCCGCAGACGCCCCGAGCGCGCGCAGCCGTCCGGACGATGAGCGCGGCGGGCAGCGGCTACCCCATGGCTTCGCTGTACGTGGGCGACCTGCACCCCGACGTGACCGAGGCGATGCTGTACGAGAAGTTCAGCCCCGCGGGGCCCGTGCTGTCCATCCGCGTGTGTCGCGATATGATCACCCGCCGCTCCCTCGGTTACGCCTACGTCAACTTCCAGCAGCCCGCTGACGGTACGCGCCGCGCCCGGCGCCCTCCTGCCGTTCCTCGCGCCGCCGAGCCGCTCGCTGTGCTGCCCCGCACGATGGCCGCGCGGCTGCCGGACGCTCGGTTCTTCGGGGTTCCGCTCGGGCGGAGCGTTGCCCTGCCGGCCGTCCCGGCTGCTCCGTACGGAGGAGATGCGGCCTTGGGGAGGTGGGGGCGGGGGGGGCGGCGGTCGGACCCGATGGCCTTACGGGCCTGCAGCCTCAACGGTTCGTGGTTCTGTGTGTTCTGTAGCAGCCTTTCTGTGCGCTCCATCCGTAGGGTAAGTAATCACCTGACCAGCAGTTGTGGAGCTGGAGGCGTTTTTCACAGGCACTTCTTACAGAGCAGAAGTCTCTTCTTCTGGCTGCTCACCTGTTGTAACTTTGCTCCTGGTAGAGCTGATGGCTGCACGTTGCTGTGTGTGCAGGCAGCTGCGCAGCACTCTGACGTTCTTGAGCTGGTGGGAAAGGTTCGTTGTGCAGTGTGGGGAACTGTGCTGTCTCATGGGCAGAATCCATGCTGGTTTACTCTGGCTGGATTGTTTTTAATAGTTTCAATTTGGCACCTCCTTAAGTCAATCTTCCAGGGCTAAAGCAGTGGAAACGTACAAAAGATGGGACAGAAAAGGTGATTGTGTGTGTGTGAAGCGCCTTTTTTCTGTAGAAGAGTAGGTCGGTATTTTCTGCCCTCGTTTTCAGAGCCATTACTTGTTGACTGGCGCTCATTTATTGCTCTGAGCGGTGGTTTAGCAGGGTCTATATATAGACATCTCCAGAACAGATAGGCGAGAGCGCTTCCCTTGGATTCAGAATCAATTCATAACAGCCAGTGACCTCCTGTTGCCTGCAATTGGCCGTCCTGCTTTACAGTTTTGTAGAGAGCAGATAGCAGATAAATACATTGCCTTCAGGTCAAAGTCTTCACGTGGTGTGGAAAAGAAATGTCATCACAAAGCCGTGCTCCTGCAAGCCAGAAGAGCCTGTGAGCTCTCGGCGGATTTCATGTGAGCTGGCTGTGATGTGCCCTCTGCCGCTGTCCTCTTCCCAGCTCAGGCTGCCTCTGTGCTCTTAAAGTAGAGAAGACCTGTGTCGTGTGGGTGTAGGTGTGATGTTGGAAGGGAAGGGAGCCGTTGTGTGTGCTTGCTGTAGCAGGAAGAAGTTCTCATAGAAATATGGAGATAGCCGGCCTCCGCGTGTGTGTCAAGGCAAACTTTTTATGGTAATAAATAGGCGTGAGGCTGGGGGGATGTTGCGTCATTCTGGGCTCCTGGAGAAGCAGCAGACGTTTTAGGAAGTCCCAGTGCTTGGATTGATACTTTGACAGAGTAGCTGGTGTCCTGTTACTGGTAGGTCTTACAAGGTCAAGTGACTTGAACCTTATCTTTCAGTTGCTAATGTGCAAACTCTCCTGCCTCCACAAAGAGATCTGTTTCGAAAAGCTCCTTCCTGGTGCAGCAAACAGCAGCGTGTTATTTTGTATGAGTAAAGGGCAGCTACTGTGCTGAATGTAATGGGGCAGAACATCAGCAGGTGGGAGGCAGAGCAGCTGGTGTGTTGGGGTCTCTCTGAAACCAAGACTCAAACTTCATGGAGAATATAATTTTTGTTGTCAAATGCATGAGTTTTAGGTTTGGCTTCATGGTGGCTGTGCTTTCTGCATGAGGGCTTTCAGAGAAGACAGATCTGTGCTTTCGTTCTAGGGATGCATAATCAGAAATGCATTTGGGCTTTATATGTCCATTCTAGGAAATGATGGGCAGCATTCTGTAGCACTGCTACAGCACGGTGCATAAAAGCACTCGGGAAGCTTTGTGCTCCCAAAACTTGTAGGAAAGCTCTTGTGGGCACACTGCTGGTGTGTTAGAAATGGTGGAAGGCAGTGAAGCTGATAGGATGGTTTGTATTTCCTGGATACCTTCTGTAGAAGTGGAAGTGCTTTGTAAATCTGAAGATTTGTCACATCTTAACCTTTGTGTGGGAAATGGGATTCTCTCCTTACTGACCAGAACTGTAAATTAGAAGCAGAACTGTTTACAAGGCGGGCAGCAGCCAGAACTTTGCTGTTCTTTGGACCAGCAGGGGATCACTGTGTTCACATCCTGAACATCCGAGTTTCCAGAACTCTGCTTCTAAACTGGCTCAGGGCTTGCATTTTTCTTGGTTTTCCTCAGTTAATGGGGTGATGCTGTACCCTGGGTTACTTTTTGGACACGCGTTGTCTGATAGTCCACAGAGAGGTTGTTTTTAGTGAAAATGAGCTCTGCTGCCTTCAGCTGAAGCTCTGTGGCACAGCAGTGGGTGGATGCTCAGTGCTGGGTCCGTGCTGTTCTGATAGGCAGCTCAGGGAATGCTTCGAAGTTCTGGCGAGTTCAGACTTGGCCGTGGTTGTTAATATTTTTAACTGTAAGTGGAAAGAAAACAAACTCATTTTATTTGGAAGAAAAGCTTTTAAATATGTTCCTCATGCAGTCTCGTGTTGCAGGGTTTCATAACGTTGACAGTTAAGACAACTCAGATAATGATGGAGAGAAACTTCAACGTGGCCATAGAGATAAGCTGCTCTGGGAGTACAGAGAACACCACGTGTTTCTCAAGCCAAGAAGGAACCTGAAGCTGGGATGAGATAAGTGTCTCTAAACAGAGAGCTGTAGGAAGGTATGGATAAACTTGTCCCTCCTCCTTAAAGGAGAGACGGCAGCCTGAAAGATGTGCAGTGCAAAGCAGGGGTGCAGTTGGGTGGAAGGAGTGGTTTTGTAGGTGATCTTCACTGCTGGCAGCGTTTTGTTACGCTTCAGTGATGAAGGGACTGAAGGAATGGGCATCAAGTATGCTGATTAACCTTGCCAGCTCTAAGTGGCTAAATGTGCACTGTTTTTGTTGTCAGGTCTTTATTACCTAGTGACACAAGCGAGAGCACAGAGGTCTGCAGAGCAGCTGATAAAACTCCTTGTGCTGAGCTTCTGTGAGTGACTCCTGGTGCGTATGTCTGTGCTGCTCAGCCACACGGCCATCTCCAGCACTGTGTTAGCTCTGTGTCAGGGAGCCTAGCCTGCAGGTGAGAATCATTACTTTGAGGCCTAAGGCAAGCTTCAAGGAATGCTCATATATTGGTTTTCCCTGTCCAAAAGGCACTTGAAGAAGAATGGAGAAAGCCTGGAAGAGACTCAGTGTGTGAGCAGTGTTGGGTTTGAGTTGCAGTCCAGCCTGCTGAGAGGATGACAGGAACCAGTGGGAGAGAAACAGATACAGGAGCTGAAATGGCTGAAGGTTGGTGGCTTAAGTAGGGGGAAATGAGGAGGCGTTCGCTCAGGTGGAGGAAATGAATTTGCTGTGTTTATTCTGGGTCACTGTTATCCCTGTGCCGATCCTTTAGGGGCTTTCTCAGGTACTGGTGTGATGTGACTGCGTTTCTGCCTGGGAGTGTGGCAGCCCTCAGGTTAAGAAATCTGTCTGGGGCTTTCTTGCACCACTGCTAACAAGTGCTTTAGCATTTGCACGTACGTCAAGCAGAGTATGCTACTGCTGTGCAGTGCTAGATGGCTGCGCAGAGCAGGGCAGTAGCATCTGCTTACGATGTGCTTAGAAAGCTTGACAGAACCGTGAGCAGGTTCCTAGCCTGTATCTCAGTGGCCGCACAGCGCCTCGCAGTTCCTCTGGTTGCTTGCCTCTGCTTCCTCTGCTCGGCACCTTTCAGCAGGAGCTGTTTCTGCTGCAGATGGAACATGCAGCTGGTTTGTGTCCTTGCCAGTGCGTGCTTCTGCAGGAGCTCTCCTTGCTATAAATAAGCACTGCCAAATTTGACGGCCTGCACCGAGTTGCCTCCTGAAGCGCCTACCAGGAGTGGCGATGGGGACAGCCACAGGGCTGCTCTGATTCAGAGCAGCAGCTGAGGAATCATTTTAGCATGGCAGTTAATTGAATGTAAGGCTTTTAAATAGCTAGTGGAGCGAGTAGAGCCCTAGCATGTAAGATTTTCCTCTGAGATGGTTTTTGTCCTTCTAATGTTGTAAGTCTCTCTGCTTCAGTAACGAGATCCAGCAGAACTTGTTTCACAGTAGGGGTTGTGTGAAGGACTGGGGAAAAAAGAGATGGCACCAGTTCCACTTAAAGAGCAGTAGCAGGAAAAGTCTTCAAAGCACATGAGAAGGTCTAATAAACTTTCGTGCAGTAGTTCACTGATTTTGAGGTAGGGAGTGCAGGAGACTTCTGTAGGCAGTGCCCCACTGAGGATCTGGAGAGCTCTGTGAAATGCTGTATGGCTTCTCTGCTCTAACAAAGCATCACTTGAGAGGAGAAGTATTGGTGTTGGCTTTTGGGCTGAATTTGCTGCCCTGAACTGATATCAGTAACTGAGTGACAGTGGTGTGAAGAACTGAGCCAAAGAAATTTGGAAAACTTGGGTTCTGCCCTGTTAGTGTTCCCTGGTCTTAATGCGTATTTATCCCTTTATTTCCCTGCCTCGTGCTAGGAATCAAGTCTCTCTTTCTCTGCTGACTCCATGTTAGGAGCGTTTCCTGGCTCAGAAGAGTCACAAGCATCTGAAGTTTATGAAGCAGATCCTGACGAGTGTACGCAATGATCCGTTAATACAGCAGTAGGCAGCAGAAATAGAATCGTGACGACGGGGTTCAGTGTGGCCCAGGATGGCAGCGCTGAGGTTTCAGAGCTGAGTTAAATGCTTCCCTGTTCATCAAGTTGGGTACCTGGGCCTTTTTCTCAGCATGTTGTCTGTTGTCACTGTTGCCCTTTAGTCAGAAAACTGGAAATCATTTGTTGGCCACCAATGATAGAGGCTGGTTGTGTTCTTCCCTGCCAGCCGTGCGTTTGTGTGCGTTCTCCGTCTCTGACCTGACAGAGAAGCGATCATTTTCTCTTAGTAGAAATGAGTATGAGTAGGTGAGAGCTGCCTGCATCTTTCCCTTCTTTTGATTTCAGCAGTTTACCTTCATAATAGCGAGGAATGTAACCAAGTGTAAGTACTTTGGCATTCATTTTTCTGTGGCTATGAAAACATCATAATGTCAGTTCAGAAAAGATTATTAAATCTGTTATGTTCTCAAATATGTCTAGTAACTGTGCTGCAAGGACCTCCCTTGAAACATGGAGTTAAACTAAAAGTAGCCATCGGAATTGACCCATGTTATCATCCCAAAGTCTCTCTAATTTCATTTACATTGCCACTCACGTGATGGAAGCCTTTGTGCTTTAACAAGCCATAGAAACCTGTTCTGCACTTCTCTTGCAGCTGAACGTGCTCTAGACACCATGAACTTCGATGTGATCAAAGGGAAGCCCATTCGCATCATGTGGTCTCAGAGGGACCCCTCGTTGAGGAAGTCGGGGGTTGGGAACGTCTTCATTAAGAACCTGGACAAATCCATTGATAACAAGGCACTTTATGACACGTTCTCAGCGTTTGGGAATATTTTGTCCTGCAAGGTGAGATGTGGTGACTTTTTCCCACTCCACTGTAGTGGTGACGCGATCAGAGACACCCGGTGTAGGAGGCAGGAGTGGCACTGTCACCAAATGGAGGGCTGCCTCTTGAAGGCAGAGCTGACCAGAAGGTCAGGGATTGCTGGAGTTGTCAGGTTTGGTCATGAAATGAGCCAGTCTAAGCACAGGCATCTCACTGCTTTGGCCCTCAGCAGCCACCTGCTCTCGTGTGCTGACGCTGCGGTTGAGCGTGGCGGAGGTGTGCGCTCCCAGGTCTGACGGATTGGTTTCCTCCCATGTGTCTAGGTGGTGTGTGATGAGAATGGCTCTAAGGGCTACGCATTTGTGCACTTTGAGACCCAGGATGCTGCAGATAGAGCCATCGAGAAGATGAACGGCATGCTGCTAAACGACCGCAAAGTGTGAGTGTCACAGCAGCAGCAGCAGCGAGCGCATGAACCGTGATGCATCTCGGTATTAACAGGGACACACAAGGTTCTCCTGGCCCAAGCCTTGGCCTGCTACCTCTCCACTACAGGGCTGGTGAGTGACCCTGCCCAAGCCATAGCCTGCTCCCCTTCCATTGCAGGGCTGTGGTTTCCCTAACCAAGCCTTGATTTGCTCCCTCTGCAAGTGGGCTGGGTGGGTGTCTGGCCAGTACTCTTCACTGCAGAGATGGGTGGGCATCCTAGGCTGCTGCTTTTCACCGCAGGACAGGGGACTTTTCTGGTTGGTCTGCGGCCTCTCTGTCCTTCTGTTCTGGCACTCTTTTCTTCTCCCTGTGTCTGGCTCCTACTACAAAAAAGAATTCTTTTTTTTTGCTTCACTGCAAACCACGTGCTGTTTTTCCTTTTTCTTTTTTTTTTTTTTTTTTTTTTAAACAAGTTCCTCACTTAATTTCATTCTTTCATGCAGATTTGTTGGGAGATTCAAGTCTCGTAAGGAGCGGGAGGCTGAGCTGGGAGCCAAGGCAAAGGAATTCACCAACGTTTATATTAAGAACTTTGGGGATGACATGGATGATGAAAGGCTAAAGGAACTCTTCAGTAAATATGGTAAGTACCGAAACTCTAATGCGACTGTGAATTTCATGAGCTGTGCTAATTTAAGTGCTGCTGCCATCTGAATACGTCTGCTGGGGTGACTTTGAGGCTGATGAATTGGAAGAGTTGAGGAGTGGGCAGTAATTCTGTCAAACATTGGACAGGAGGCAGAGAGTGGCCAGCAGAGGAGTGAGAGCAGAAGGCTAGGGTGATTCTGTGGAGCTTGATAGACTTGAAATAGCCTTACATTATGTTTCACTAACCCTGTCCCTTGGTAACAGGTAAGACTCTGAGTGTTAAAGTGATGACAGACCCCACTGGAAAATCCAAAGGCTTTGGCTTTGTAAGCTTTGAAAAGCATGAAGATGCTAACAAGGTATGACCGAGTGTTAATGCTGCCTGCGTGTCTTTGGAGAAGAGCTTTCTTGGCTTGCCATAGAAGCCGGTTGAGATAAAATTCTGCCTCAGATGTAAACCTCTTCTGGATGTGGGGGCTTGAAGCCATTCGCACGTCACCACGTTGTGACCTTACTTCAGGATTAAGCTGACACTTCTCAGGTTACTAGATGCACGCAGAATGCAGTTGTTTAATCTGAACATTAATTGCTGAAGAAGTGCTCTGGTGGATGGCGTAGGGAGTGAGTGTTCTTAGAGCAGTGTCTTTGGAGCCTTATGTTTGTTACTGTTTGACACTGGCTACAGAAGGGGTGGGGGTAAATTCACAAGTTCCTGCTGTTAGTCCAGCATTACGGTAAGGTTGTCAGCGTGGTCTCTCCTGGTAACTTCAGTTTATCTTTAGTTAGCTGGTGTAAAACGGGAGCAGCGCAGAGGTGCTGTGGCAGCTATTGGCCAACGAGCAGGGAGATCTTTGGGCAGCCAAGTTCTTAACAGGATCGGCTGCTGTCCTGTTCCAGCAACTGACAGTTTTCTTTGACCCCTCTGTCCAGGCAGTGGAAGAAATGAATGGGAAGGATATCAATGGGAAAATGGTGTTTGTAGGCCGAGCACAGAAGAAGGTGGAGCGCCAGGCAGAGCTGAAAAGGAGATTTGAACAGCTAAAACAAGAGAGAATCAGCCGGTACCAGGTGAACAGCCTGTCCCTCTTCTGAATTCAAGTACCGTTTTCCATCTGTTGGTAGACTTAAAAGGCACTGGCCGCAGTCGTTGCCCTGTGGTATATTCTTAGAGTGCAAACTTTAAGGTGACTCCATGGAACTTGGAGGCAAAGGAGATTTCCGTGCATGGTCTTCACAGTGAAGTGCTTAGGAGGATGTGAGAGAAGTCATGCAGTCATCGTTAATTTCGCATGAGCATACCTGAAAGGATGGAAAGAGATGCGACTCTGAGCTGCTGTTGGTTCAGTTTTTAGCAAAATTGTGCCAGAGATTGCATCTGAATCTTTCCCACTCCTTGCAATGCAGTGCAGGACTGGGGACACATGATGCAACAAGAAAGCAGAGGAAATCCAGACAGGCTCTTTCACTGCACTGGGGTTTGTCTCTACACCTTTGCAACATTTATTGCCATCAATCTTGGTATGACAGATGTCCTGCTGAGTTGAGAGGTTTTAGACAAATGGCAGCTTTGGCAGATGGATGCTGACAGTTGATGTGCTAAAGATTCTCTTTATTACTGTAGATGTCTTAATTATCCCACTGTTCTCTACCTTTCAGGGAGTTAATCTGTACATTAAAAACCTAGATGACACTATAGATGATGAAAAGCTGAGGAAGGAATTCTCACCTTTTGGATCAATAACAAGTGCAAAGGTACTGTGGGGCTTGGGGATTTTGGGATTTCAAGGCCCGAGGAAGGAACTGTGACTTGACAAAGGACCAAAGGGCAGATGTATATCCCCTCATTGGTGCAGTCATGAGAATTTTGGGCAGATTTCCTTGGGTCTCATCGTGATTTTACTGATAACTTGTTTGATTCCTCATCAGAAGTGGGGGGGACAAGAGGTGGAAAACATTGCCATGTCATGCTGATTGGCAAGCAGGCATTTCTTCACGTTTGATTAGAGGCTGCACCTAATCTTTCCCATTCCTTGCTGTGCAGTGTGAGTCTGGGGACGCATGGTGCTGACAGAAAGGCAGAGCAAATCCAGACAAGTGGTTCTTCATTGACTAATTGTCCCTACACCTCTGCAACAGTTCTTCCTTGAAATCTTATATTTCTCTGCGGTCAAAAATAGAGGGGATTCTTAAACTGTTCTTGAAATGTTGCTCTACCAGCAATTGGTCTTTACTGCAGGTGATGCTGGAAGATGGACGGAGCAAAGGATTTGGCTTTGTCTGCTTTTCCTCTCCAGAGGAAGCTACGAAAGCTGTGACAGAGATGAATGGTCGAATAGTGGGCTCAAAGCCACTCTATGTTGCACTTGCACAAAGGAAAGAAGAGCGGAAGGCTCATCTAACTAATCAGTACATGCAGCGCATTGCTGGCATGAGAGCCTTGCCAGCCAACACAATCATTAATCAGTTCCAGCCTGCTGCTGGCGGTTATTTCATGCCTGCTGTGCCCCAGGTAAGCTGAGCAAGTTAGTATGGTGTTATGATCATTTTAACTGTGCTTGGGCCCTGAGTTGTTTGCATTCATCCCATTGAGTCTTTCTTATGCCCATGAGCAAGCAACTCCTAATGGGGAGTGCAGTCAGTGGAGTTAATTGTGACGTCCCGGCTGCGTGCTCTCTTAATTTGAGTTGGGCGTTGAGTCTGGGGAAAAACTGCCAAAACACACTGCGAACAATGCTTGTTGTTCACTTAGATGTTGCCTTTAGCTCGTTTGGTCTCCCTCCAGGCTCAGAGCAGACCCACTTACTATGCACCCAATCAGATGGCACAGATGAGACCCAACCCGCGCTGGCAGCAAGGAGGAAGACCTCAAGGTGAGCGTCTAGAGACGGCTTTGGTGGTGTGGCCCTCTGGGTTGTGCCTTCTGGCATGAATGCATGCTTTCCTTTCTGTGCACAGCTTCAGCTTGCTTCCTGTAGCTGGGCGGCCCGACTCAGCGGTCGGTTCTGGTTTGAGGATTTCCTCTCGTTTCTTCCATCAGGCTTCCAGGGAATGCCAAGCGCCATGCGCCAGTCTGGGCCACGGCCGGCCCTGCGCCACCTGGCCCCTGCTGCCACTGCTCCTGTCTCTCGTGGCCTCCCTGTTTCTGCCCAGCGAGTCGGTAAGGCGTCTGCCTCCCAGGCTCTCCTCAGCTGCGGGGTGAGGGTGCTGTTGAGACTTGACTTCTGCTCACAAAGGTGGTGGTCAGAAACAGACGCCTGCAGTGAGGGGCAGAGACAGCACCTGAATCTTTCCTATTCCTTGCTGTGCAGTGCTGGTCTAGGGACAGTTGGTGCTACAGCACAGCAGCAGAAATCCAGATGGGTTATTTTCCACTTGCTTGGAACTCATCTCTACAGCTCTGCAACATTTACTGCTGTAATAGGACTGCAGGTTATGGATATTGTTCTCAGAGTGGAGCACTCAAATTTTATTTGATGGCGTAACTAGACAATACCATAAATGCAGAATGTAGAATAGTCCTTTTCTGAAATATCCAATTGTAATTTGGAGACCAGTTTCTAAGCCAGTATTTGCCTGTGCGGTGCATAGTTTGAATTTAGCGGTCATTAAGATGCCTCAGGTTATTTGCTGTGCATTCCTTCGGGTGTTTTTAATCCCGCTCTCCTTTTGCAGGTGTTACCACTGCAGGACAGAACTTGGCTCCTCGTCCACCTGTAGCAGCTCCTGCTCCCAGAGCAGTTCCCCCTTATAAATATGCCTCAAGTGTCCGCAGCCCACATCCACCTGTACAACCTTTGCAGGTAACACAAGGGTCTGTGCCTGAAGCAGCTGCAGGCCAACAGGTTTTACGTGCAGAGTTTTTGCAGTTTTACATACTGAAGGGCTTTTGCAGAAACAATCAGCACAGCATCTATTTTTGCATCCTCCTATCTGCCTTTCTATAGGCACCTCAGCCTGCAGTACACGTGCAGGGACAGGAGCCACTAACAGCCTCCATGCTGGCTGCTGCCCCTCCCCAGGAGCAGAAACAGATGCTGGGTGAGTGAAACTCTGGTTCTTCCAGATTGCATTTTACTTTGGAAATGTCCCCAGGTTTCATCAACAGCTTTTAAATTAAAATTGTGTCTGAAACCCTTTTTTTCTAGGAGAACGTTTGTTCCCTCTTATTCAAGCTATGCATCCCAGCCTCGCAGGGAAGATCACAGGAATGTTGCTGGAGATTGACAACTCGGAGCTGTTGCACATGCTGGAGTCTCCAGAGTCCCTCCGGTCAAAGGTAAGCTGGCCTGTTCCTTGGCTGGGGGCAGGCTGTGGGGCCCTTCGGCTGAGAGAGAATTCTCACTCGCTGGCTCATCTGTCTTCCTGGAGGTGGAGGAGGCTGTCGCAGTGTTGCAGGCTCACCAAGCCAAGAAAGAAGCTGCCCAGAAGGTGGGTGTGGTTGCTGCTACCTCTTAAGCCAGGAAGACTGGTGAGTGTCTCAGTCCTCGGCTTTGATTAAAAGCTTCCAGGATTGGTAAATAAAGCAAGGCAGTCACTGAGTGTTGGTCTGGGAGGCTTATGTTGGTTTGGGAGTGGCGCTTGTCTGATTTTAGCCAGTTCTTCAAAAATCTGTTTAATTAAGCGTTGGAAAGATGATGTGTGAATTGCTGAAGTGTTTCTGTTGGGAGGTCATGGAAGTACAGCAGATTGAGATGAGTCTTGTGCCAGTGCTGATCTAGGAGATAAAATGACGTGCAAGATGTTCTGGTGACTTCAGGGTGAAGTGCTGTGCTGGTGCCATTGCTTGTCCTGCAGTCATCTGCCTGCAGCGTGCATCAGAGGCTGCTGCCAGCAGAGCCATTCCTGGTGCAGCTCTGCCCAAACAAATGCTGTCTCCTGTGTCCAGCTCCAGACGCCTAGAGAAGGCTTTTATTCCCCAGTACCTGGCTGGTTACTTCTTCCTCCTTTTCCTGCAGGATGCAAAGAAGCCAAATAGCCCCTGCCAGGTGTCAGCTCTGCAGATTCTGCACTGTGCTGCAGGACTCAGGGCCGTGCGGCACGTCGCGTAGTTACACTGCATTTTATAAACCAATCCTTAAACTCCTACCAAGCCGACTCTGCGCAGCTCTAGATTTCCAAAACCAGAATTGAGTTTGCAAGCTTCCCTTGTGTCACAGCAGGGTTACCGCTTGTCTTTTCGAAGCGCAACATCGAGGATTTCCAGTTAAAGCATTTTGTGGTTTTGGTTTTAACTCAAAGTCCAGTGTGGAAAGTTCTGGAAAGTCTTTTGTCAATAAAGGAATAAAATCTTTGTCTGCATTTGTCATCGTTCTCTTTTGGTGCGTGATTTTGACGTGACTCGCGGCACTCGACGGCGTTCACTTGCTGCTGGGGTTGCTGTGAAGCTCCGGGCGCTGGGCGCTTCGGTTCCGGTTCGCCTGCGCTCGCACCTCCCCGCCCGCAGGGGGCGCCTTTTTTCGGCGCTGCGGAAAGGCGGGATTCGCGCGAACTTCCGGGGCGGTGCGCTAAGATGGCGGCCACCAAGCGGGTGCTGTACGTGGGTGAGTGGGGCCGGGGGCTGCGGGCTCCGCGCGGGGCGAGCGGGGCCGTAACGCTGTGCGCCGCAGGCGGGCTGGCGGAGGAGGTGGACGAGAAGGTGCTGCACGCCGCCTTCATCCCGTTTGGCGACATCACCGACATCCAGATCCCGCTGGACTACGAGACCGGTGCGTGGCGGGGCGCGGGGCGGCGGCGCGCTGTGAGCCGGGCTCTGACCGCGGGCTGCGTTCACAGAGAAGCACCGAGGTTTCGCCTTCGTGGAGTTCGAGCTGGCGGAGGTGAGAGGAGGAGCAAAGCCGCCCTCCGGGATGGCGGCCGGGCCGCGGGGGCTGCCTGCAGCCGAGAGATCTGCCCGGGGCAGCGCGCGGCGGCTTTGCTCCTCTCCCGGTCTGCGGACGCGGAGGCAGCTGCGCCAACTCTGTGTGCCCAGGCTTTTTTCTTTAAAGGAAGAGAGAAGTGGCTGTAACGAGGCGTCCTATTGCTCTTCACACAGGATGCAGCAGCAGCCATTGACAACATGGTACGAGGCCTGCCCTGCTTCACAGCCCGGAGCTCATCTCTGCTAGGACACGGCTGGCCCTGGCCAGCAGCTGCAAACAGCCTGGGGCAGCTCCTGCCACGTGTGCTGGGTGGTGCTGCAGACACGGGTCTGCCTGCGACTGTTGTGCCTGGCCCTGCTTTGCTGGCGTTGCCGCTGCCTGTGGTCTCCGTGCAGCTCCTGAGCTGTGGGGCCCCTGTGGTGCTCAGAAGTGGGGAGAGAAAGCCAGCCCTGCTCTTTATGCAGAGGGGACGTAGTGAGTTTTTACCCTGTGGTGGGCTTTGTTCTTTTTTTGTTCTTTGTAGAACGAGTCTGAGCTCTTTGGTCGGACAATTCGAGTGAACTTGGCCAAACCAATGCGAATTAAAGAAGGATCATCTCGGCCAGGTAAGTTGGTGCCTAGGAGAGGAGAAACTCCTGTGGGCGTTCAGCGCTGGGCGCACATCGGCCCTTTTGGTTTCCCAAGGCTCTGCTTCCCATTCAAGCCTCGTGGGGTCCCAAGAATCAAAAACATCCCCCAGCCCCTCAGACAGACATGGCTGGGCTTCTGGTTGCTCTGTACAGGGGGCCAGACGCACTCACACACCAGGCAGGGTTTCTGTCACACCGGAAATGGGAGGGAGCCCAGCCATGCTCAGCAAAGTGCTGGCGAGAGGTGGATGGTGACATGCAGCCAGCGGGCTGTGGGTTATTACTTGGGGGAGTTGCTGGCTCTGTCCCCGTGTCCCCATGCGGGGGGTGACTGCGTGCAGTTCTGGGAGTGGTTGGGCCAGCAGCACCCAGGGTGCAGTCCTGCTGCTGCCAGAGCTGTGCTGAGTCCTGAGTTGCTTGGCCCTGGGCTCAGCACCCCGTGCTCACCCTGCCCTGCTCTGCTACAGTGTGGTCAGATGATGAATGGCTGAAGAGGTTCTCAGGAAAGACTCTGGAAGAGAACACAGAGGAAGGAGGAACAGAGGCACCCAAAGCAGAGACACAGGAGGTAGGGATGGATGGAGCTGGTTGTGCCCTGCTGAGTGCCTCGGAGTGGGGAACCTGGGGATCTGGATGCTACCAGCTTTGGGAACCAGGAGTGAGCTGTGGTCATGTCAGTCCCTGTGTCCCCAAAAGCTTGCTGAGCCCAGAGGGAGCTGCGTGTTTTTGCTGCATCCTGCAGCAGCCCCTAGGCTGTGAGGAGCCACCGTTTGCTGCCTGCTGCCTTCAGGGACTTTCGGAGCTGGACCTGCTGCCGGCCCTGTGCCGCAGGCTGGGGTCAGACCGGCCATCGGGTGGCAGAGCTGAGCAGCAGCGCCTCCTCCTTGCCTAGGGTGAGCCTCCTGCCAAGAAGTCCCGGGCCAACCCCCAGGTTTACATGGACATCAAGATCGGCAACAAACCTGCAGGGCGGCTCAAGATCCTGCTGCGGTCCGACGTGGTGCCCATGACCGTAGGTGAGCGGTGCTGCTGCCCTGCGGCCCTCGGGCTGTGTGCTGGGCTCACCTCTGCCCCTCGCCCCGGACAGAAAACTTCCGCTGCCTCTGCACTCAGGAGAAAGGCTTCGGCTTCAAGGGGAGCAGCTTCCACCGCATCATCCCCCAGTTCATGTGTCAAGCTGGGGACTTCACCAACCACAACGGCACTGGAGGAAAGTCCATCTATGGGAAGAAGTTTGATGATGAAAACTTCATCCTGAAGCACACGGGGCCAGGTAGGGTGAGCGCTGTGGGGTTCCTCGAGCTGCTCTGACCGCAGACTGCAGTGTGCCCAGGGCAGAAATGCAGCCCCCTGTCTCTGCCCACACGCTGTTAATTTCAGTCTTATATCATGGAGAATTTCAGAGCTGCTTTCCCGTTGAGTTTTAGGGGAGGAATGTTGCAGTGTAACTATGAGCGGTGGAAAGGTGGCAGAAAGCAAGCAGGCTGATCTCCAAGGCTTTGCTGTTGCTGCAGTTAAAAATAGATTAATGCTCTCTACCACTTCACTCTGCTCATACTTGTAGGTGTTTCTTGGCATCGTCAGCTTCCCGCAGTTTCAGTATTCAGAGACTCTTAAAACCTGCATCGTCTGTGCAGCACAGGGGGGTTTTAGTTAATTACTGGCATTGCTCCCAATAACGCTGCGCTGTTTGGCCCCAGGGCTGCTGTCCATGGCAAACTCCGGCCCCAACACCAATGGCTCGCAGTTCTTCATCACCTGTGATAAAACCGACTGGCTGGATGGGAAGCACGTGGTGTTCGGGGAGGTGACGGAGGGCATGGATGTGGTGCGGCAGATCGAGGTCGGTGCGGCAGCGAGGCGGGCTGTGTGCGTGCAGCCCTGCCCCCGACTGCCAGCCTTCCTTCCCTTCTGCAGGCTCAGGGCACCAAGGACGGGAAGCCGAAGCAGAAGGTGATCATCTCCGACTGCGGGGAGTGCGTGTGAGCGCAGTGCTGCTGCCCAGCTGCCCCTGCAAGGGTTGGTGCCCCGTCCTGCAGCGGGCTGAGCGGGGAGGCGCGTTGTGCCTGTGCTGCTTCCTGCTCCCACTGTGCCCCTCGCTTGGCAAAGACTTCCTATATTTCACAGAAATAATAAAACCGAGTGTTCGAAAAACAAAGGCCTGTCCTGGCTGTTGGGTTCTCACTGAGTCAGGATGCTCCTTAAATCTCAAGGTTTGGAATAGTCCTTGCAGACATCCCCACGCAAGCCCTGACCCAGGAGCATTCGGCCCAGGGGCATGGCTGCGTCCTGAGCCGCTCTGCGTTGCCTTCATCAGCAAATGGAACCTTTCTGGTGTGTTGAGCCCTTACCCCAGGCAGCAGGATCAGGATGTTCCTTTTTCGGTGCTCACCATCCTTGAGTTTGGGTTGGTTTTCTGCATTTTTTCCTCTTTGTTTTTTCCTCTGTGTGTGGGTAAGCCAGGTTCCCTGGGTGCCCCAGAGCAGCCCCAGCTGCCACAGCGCCTGCTGGGCTCAGCTTCAGGCAAACAGGAGCAGTTTTAGGCCATCGTGAGTACTTTTTCATTGCGAAATTCAGCGTGCAGAACAGAACGTCATTGTGCTGTGACATTTATGGAAAAGCAGCAAGAGAAACGCTGTGTTTACTTTCCAAACTAGGCATTTATTTTATAACAGTGTTGTAGCTCAATATGTATTATTTTTTTTCCCCTTGGCTGAGTTTTGTGAACTCTAAGTAAACAGGAGCCTGTTAGTCAGCCGGCTACTTAATTGGCTGAGGGTGTTTTTGTGTAGGGAACTGGAAGCCCTGCTTGGAGCCCAGCTGTCCTCGGAGCCGCCCTGCCTCACCCCGGGCACCGCACATCCGCCACGGCCCGACGTCACCGACCACAAATCCTCTTCCTCTTCTATATATTTATATCTACGCATGTATAGTATGGATGTTTCTCATTATATGTGGTGAGAGAAGGGAAGTTTTATATTATTTACATCCACTTCTGGGAAGGGAAAGGGCTGGGCAGACGGGTGGTGGTGTGTCGGGTGGGCAGCCCGGGTGCTGCTGCAGTAACCCCCTCCCCCCTGCACCCAGCACGGATCCCGGTGCCCCTCTTCCCCCCGGTGCTCAGTGGCAGCCGCAGGACTTCACCACCATGTTGCGGTGCTTCTTGAGGATCACGTTGTTGTTGCTGTCGTAGTAGAGGACGGAGGTGGCACTGAGCTTGGTGGGCGCGCAGCACGCCTTGGGCACGGCCTCGGGCTTCATCAGGTGCACCTGAGGGGCAGAGGGGTTGTGGGCATGGGAGAAGCCCCAAAGCACCCCGGTTCTTAACCTGGGGAAGCCTGGGTGAATGGGGGATTATTTCCAGCCTTTTGTAAAAATATTTATTCTAAACCCTTGGCAGTCCTCTCTGCAGTCAGTTTATATTGGATCTGGGCGGCCCTTCGTTCATTTGAGTCCCTGGACCCAGAGCTGAGCCCTGGCACCGTGAGCTTTGCAGGCAGCTCCCCCTGGCCTCACCCCACATGTGAGCCATGTGCCAGCACGGCTCTCCCAGCTCGGAAGTCCGGCGCTGTGCTGCCCAACGCTGCCATTTGCAGCTCCCAGTGCCAGGTGATTCACATCCATGCTGGGAAGAGCCCTGGGCCGGGGCTGAGGGTGGGTGCCCACAGCGGGGGGGGGCTCAGGCAGCTTCATTAATGCGAAAACTAAACCCTGCCAGGAGACACCTTCAAAGGCTCAGCCAAGGACTCGGCGCTCCCTGTAATTAACTGCGAGCACCGGAGTCGGTGTGACTCCACCATTGGGAAATCAAGCACTCACAGGTCAGGAAATTCCAGAAATTAAAGCATGGGTTGCGATGTGGAGTGGATTTGGGAAAACGGGCAGCAAAGCCTTCCTGCTCGGAATATGCTGAGCCCAGCGCTTGGGCTCCGCCGGGCCTCGGGGGGCAGCTTCTGTGCATGGGGACAAGGAGGGGACCGGCACCAGAACCCCCCAGCAGTGCCAGCACTGACCAGGGACTGCAGGATGGCGTGGTTGGTGGCGTTCATGCAGGAGTCCAGCGGGAAGGCGCACTCCCCCTCGCAGTAGTAGGCTGAGTAGCCCTGGGGGGCGATCACCCAGTCCTGCAAGGAGAAGACGTTGCACTGGGGCACTGCTTGCTCCTCCATTCCTGCTCCCCCCCACCTCCTCCCCAGGTTTGCTCTGAAGTTTGGGGTCACCAAAACTCCTGCGAGTGGCCGGGAACTGTGGCTCTGTGGGGAGATCGGGACCGTACCAACCAGCCCAGGTCCTGGAAGCTGACATAGAGCTCGTGCCTCCGGCAGACCTGCCGCCCATCTGCAGAGTGGACATCATCTGTGGAGAGAGGGAGGCAGCGTCAGCCCGGGGTTGGGGCTGTACTGTGGTGCACAGGGGGCACACGGAGCCGCCTGGGTGCAGGCAGGTCTGTGCTCCCGGCCTGGAGGAGCAATATGGGAATGGGCAGCAGAGCCTCGCGCTCCCTGCACAGCCCGGGCTGCTCCGCAGGGCTCTTACCAAAGATTCCTGGCAGCCTGTTGGGGTGTGGGAGGTCGTTGCTCTTCTTGGGCTGCCTCCTGCGCGGTGCTTTGGCCGCTCGCGTGGCTCGCACGGGGCTGGCGCTCGCCCGGAAGAAAGTCACCATGAAGGGCTGCTTGGAGCGGGGCCCACGGCGGCCCAACAGCCCCACCGAGCCCGGCTCCACACTGAGCCCTGCAGGGACAGAGCGGGGCACAGATGCGGGCAGGTCCTGCAGGCCGGCACTGTGCAGCATCCTCAGCTCCGCACGCAGCGCTCGAAGGGCGCCCACGCAGTGCAGCCGCATCCTGCAGCGCTGCCCACCCCGCAGATGGGAGCTGCACACTGCAGAGCTGCGGCAGCACTGAGAGTGTTTCTGGGGTTCAGGCCCCAAAGCTGCAGTGGTTCTTACCATTGTCTGTCTCCACGTAGAGCCGCAGGCCCAGGTTGTGCTTGCGTTCCACCAGCCAGTGGCTGCTGGCGGCTGTGACGTCGAACACCAGCCAGCCCTCGGTGCCGGCACGCAGCTGCTGGGCGTCCAGCAGGAACAGGTTGGACTCCCTGCAGATGGGCACAGTGGTGAGTAACACCCTGAGGCTCCTCCATCCCACAGCCATTCGTGGAAATGACTCCTGTGCCCGTGCCCATACAGGCCCTGGTGCTGCGAGGTCAGGACAGCGCCTGTGGCTGTGTGAAGGTGGCACCCTGGCAGCTGCCCTGGGAAAAGCTCAGCTCCCTCCTAGCACTGTGTGTGTCACTGCCTGGGGACGCTGTGGAGCAGCATTTGGCACGGGGTGGGAAAGGTGAAGGGCAGAGGTGGTGCTCGACAGTGGCCCCAAACCCATCGCAGTCTTGGTCCCTATCTCTATCCCAGTTCCCAATCCTGTCCGGTATCTCAGCCTCCATCCCTGCCCCGGTGCCTCATCCTACCCCACTCCTCATCCCCATCATGGTCCCCATTCTGGTCCCCATCCCAGTTCTCGTCCCTATGCCTACCCCCGTCCCGCTCTCCATCCCTATCCCATCCCATCCTCCATCCCCACCCTCATCCCTCACCAGCCCCCTTCCCCACTCGCCCCATGGCTGTCACCTGTTGGCCCGCTCGGCGGCGATCTCGTAGATGCTGACATGCAGGGTGCTGTTGCCGTGCCGGCTGACGCCCCGCGCTTTGTAGATGCGGAACTCGGCGGCCGTCACCGACTCCCCTGCGGGCACCTGAGCCAGGTCGAAGCGGAACTCCTTCCAGTAGGGCTTTGGGGAGGAGGTGTCCCGGTCCTGCTCCACTGCGGGGCACGGGGGTCAGGAACCGCCCCCAGGGCTGACCCCGCTCCCCCCACGTGGGAAGAAGCCCCGCCGTCCCCGTGCCCTGAGCCCGGCGCCTGCCTGCCCTGTGCTGACGGCACACGGGACGGAGGGAGCGAGGCGAGGGCAGGCAGGCGCCCGGTCAGTGCTATGCGCCAACAATCCCTTTCCTTCCATTCTAAGTCTGCTTTCTACAGAAATCGGTGCCTTTTGGTAAAGGAAGCTTCTTTTTAAACCCATAAAGGAAAGCACCGAGTGCTGCTTTGCGGCAGGGCGTCCCACCGGCTCACTAATGTGTAATTATTTTCTTCAAATTGTTCTTTAAAAGTATTCCAGCCTGCCGGGGCTGAACATAATTAAGATGATTAACGCTCTTCCTGCTTTAAACATAAATGAAATGTCACAAATCTCAGCTTCTGCCTACTTTAAAAGACCCAAACACACAAAATAGTGAATAAATAATCAAACACCCTCAGATGCCATTTTAAGCCATTCCCAGTGGGGCACAATCCTGATTTCACACAGCCCAGTGTTTTCCTGCCCATCTGCACACATGCAGCTCGGCGCACCTCTCTGAACCGAGCGCCGAGATGCTCACTATGCATCCACAGGTCTTTTTTTTCCTCTCTTTTCCTTTTTTTTCCCTCTGAACCCAACGCCGCGTTCCTCCAGCCCTGGGGTTCACCACAGGGCTGTTTTATATAAAGCTCAGGGCTGGCGGCCGGGCGGATGCGGAGCCGCTTCCTGCAGGCGCTGAGCAGCCACTGCAGGCGGGGGGACGCCGGGACCCCCTGTGCTGCCCAGTCGGGCGCTGGGGCTGAGCCCCGGGAGCTGCAGTGGCTCAGAAGCCCTTTTCTGCACGGTTCTGTTCGCCCTGCTGTGCCAAGCGCTCAGCCCTGCCACAGCCCTCAGCGCTCCTGCAAAAAGCCCCACACCACAACTGAGCAGCCTCCCTGCAGCCAGCGAGCAGCCACAGCACCGTGCCAAGGCAGGGGACGAGCGCAGGGACAGCCAGCACAGAGCAGCATCTCTGTGCATCCTTCAGACACGGGCTGAGCTGAGCTCGCAGTGCGGCGGTGTTGAGGTTCTGTGCCCCATCTCCGCGCCTCTCTGCAGCTGTTGGAGCGGCTCTGCCTCCCCCCCTCGGACCCAGCTATTGATCGGGGCGGTGTTGACTCAGCACCACCACCCCACAATTAGCTGTGGGCGGGTGATCCGGGCTGCGGGCGAGGCACTAAAAACACCCAGCCCAGCTCCTCTGCTCTCCTTGCCCCCTCCTTCGGCACTGTCCCACCCCCAGGCTGCCGTGTCCCTCCCCAGCCGCCAGTGTCACATCCTCCATCCCAAATAATGGTAGCACCACACATACCTTACGTCATGGCATTGGGCCATGCGGCCCCAGCTCTGGTGCCCCCAGGCCCTGCACTTCTTCTCCCCCCCCCCATTTTATTTTTAGCTGCACTTCATTGCACGCATTCCGTGCGCTGCTTCTATAAACGCACATCAGTGGTAATTACAGGTCCTGGCTGCACCGAGCGGCCCCTGCGACCATTTCAGGCACTAAATTAAAAGGAAATGCCAGGATATTCGACCACATCAAGCACACTGAATGCTAAAATAGGTCTAAAGGAGGTGCAGGGAAGATGCTCCTTCACTTGCAAGGAGGGAAAAAAATAAACTCCAGAGCTTTCCAAAGCCAGGGGAGAAGAGGAGCACTCCCAGGCACAGTGAATGGCTGCTGAGCCTCCATTGGGCTCCCGCTCCTTCCCATGAACAATTCTTCCTAAAAGAACACAAAGGCCCCCTCACCTCAGGATAAAAGCACTCCCCTGGCTGCAGGCTTAGTGGCTGTGCCCCCTCCCCAGCGTTCTCGCAGAGCACCCCGTCGTCACCCATTGGAAGAGGACAGGTGGAGCCCGTGGCACCAAAGCCAACCCGAGTGCCAAAGGCGGCCCGGAGCTGCTGGTGCCATGGCTGCACCCGGCTCAGCTCTGCCAGCACGCGGGGCTCCATCACAGCCCGGAGCGGCGCTGTGCCCACCTTGTCACACACAGGGAGCGGCACAGCGCCCTACGGAGCACCGCCGTCCGCATTTGCACGTCCCATAAGGGTAATGGCACAGCCAATTATGCATGCAAATGAAAGTTAGCCTTCTCCCACTAAAAAATTTATTTAATTAAAATGAAGGGGCTGGAGAAGCCGCAGAATTCAAAGCCATTCAAATTGAAGGCTGAAGTTGTGCTCATCAGCTCTCTGCATGGGATCCAGGCGGCCCCACTTCCCATCCCACCCAAATCGGTCGCGGTTACAGCACGATTTGGTGTTCATGTGCCGAGCGCTGAGCAGAGCTAGGGGCGCACGTCCCAGCACCCACCCGCTGTCCTGGCTGCCCCATCCTGCAGGCACAGCAAGGGGGCTGTCCTGTGGGGTTTCCTGACCTCTGTGCAGCCCAACACTGCAGGGGGATGCAGGGAAGGATGGAGAGGACTTGGCAGACACCTCAGTAGCCCTACCTGCTGAGAGCTGCCAGCCCCGCGCCAGCCTTTGTTCCCCATTGCTCCCAGCATCGCCTGCATGACCCCACCCGCGTCCTGAAGCACTGATCCCACTGCACACCGTGGTGCGGCCAAAGCCCGGACTCTGCTCCGCGCATGGATACCCGACACCTCCCCCCGTCTTTGCACGGGAGCACCCCAAAAACCTCGTGCTTGGCCACAACGGGCAGAGGGGGGCACGCGAACAGCCTAAAGCAAAGAGCAGAGACAGGAAAAGCTGAGTACGCGTTCAGGATGCCAGCGGACCCCGGTGGGTGCCGGCTGGTGCTCAGCTGCATCGCCGCTCTCAGGTCTGGGAATGGGATGAAGCCGGAGCTCAGCAACCAGCCCGACGGGATTCCAGCAATAATGAGCGACCGGGAGGGTTTTATTCCGAGCCGTGATTCAGCGGTGTCCCACCGCAGGTAATTGGTGCAGTTCGCTGCTGGAAGGGGGAGAGCAGCGCCCGCCCTCCCCGCGCGACTGCTTCGTGCGCAACACCGCAACGGGGTGGGCGATGCGGCCCCGTCCTGCGGGGTTTGCAGCTCCCGCCGTTGTGCGGTGATGGAGATCGTACTCGGGGGCCGGAGAGCTCAACTCGCTGCAGCTGACGGTACAGCAGGGCTGGAGGCAGCGGGGAACGAGCGACCCCAAGCCACGCTCCGCGCACCGCTTTTCCCCACCACTTTCCCCTTCGCCATCGCAGCTTTCTCTCGGGAGCGCCCAGGTCTCAGCCCCTCGCCCCTCTCCGCCCCCCCTCCCGCCGTTCTTCGGAACGCCCCGACTTGGGGCGAAAAGGGGCATTTCCGAGCGGGGACGCGCTGGGAAAGCGCCCGGGATGACGGACGCCGGCAGCCGTCGGGGCAAAAACTTCGGTCCAGGGTCGGTTCTACCCGCGACGGCCGCTCCGTCCCGGTCCCCCCACCCTCCCTCTCCCCCCCGCGCCCCCCGGCGCCGCACTCACCCATGTTCACGAGGCTGACCACGGTGTCAGCGTGGCTGACCACGCTGCCCGGCGGAGGGCTCTGGGTGCTGAGCCCGGTGAGCACCGGACGCGACACCGCCTCCTCCTCCTCCTCCTCTTCTCCGGCCACGGCGTGGTACAGATCGAGCATGAAGAGCGGAGCGGCGGCGGCGGGGGCGCGGGAGGCGGCGGGGGCGCGCGGTCGGGGCCGCCCCGGCAGCCCCAGCACGGCAAGGATCTCGCGCTGCACGTCCCGCCGCTCCCCGCCGCTCAGCCGCCGCTGCGCGAACCCCGCGGGGAGGCGGCGGCGGAGGACGCTGCCGCTGCCCCACTGACACAGCACCGCCGCCGCGCACAGCAGGGCCACCGCGCTCAGCCGCCCCCCGCGCCCCGACCCCATGGCACCGCCGCCCCGACCCCCCCCGCCCGGTGCGGAGCGGTGCGGAACGGCCCCCGCGCGGCGTCGGACCCGGGAGAGGGAAAGGGACGGGCCCGGCGGCGGCACCGCCCCGGCCACGGTGCTCCACGCCCGGCACGGAGCGCAGCCGTCCTCCCACGGACACCCGAATCCATGGCCGCCTGACCCCGCGGACGTACGCCCCTATGGGCACCCAAACCAACGAACGCTTACCCCCGTGGGTACCCGAACCCGCATTTACCTCTATGGGCACCCAAACCCGCAGATATCTACCCCTGTGGGCACCCAACACGATGGACGTCTAACCTCACAGAACTCAAACCGACGGGCATCCAACCCTACTCAGACCCACAGACACCCAGCCTCGACGGTCCTCTCACTCGTTCCCCCCCCCCGACAGCCCTGCCGTGGGCACTTCCCCCTTGCATCTGCCCGCACAGACGGACCTCGCCTGCCTCCCATGGGCACCCGGCCCTCAGCTGCTCTCAGTCCCCGCACCGCTGCGATCCACGTGAGAACCTCCTGCCGCACTCCCTGCACGCGGGTTGTGCAGGGCTGCCCTGCTGGGGCTGGGGAGCGCGGGACGAACGCCTGCAACGCGGAACACCAACACTTGGGAGGAAGGTAGGAGGCAAGATTGTTTATTACCGCAAGCAATCGTAATACAAAAATGTGTCTGTTTTCTTTTTTTAAACAATTCATTGGTAGAGCTTCAGGGTTTTTTTGCCTCAATTTAAACCAATTGAGAGAATCACACAGCAACACGGTCAGAGCCGGAGAGGAACACCATTCAATAAATACAGGGGCTCCGCAGAGCCCACTCCCCGCAGCCCCCGGCCACTCAGTTCGGTGCCATTACGAAGGGCGCACAGAAGCCGGGCAGGACGTGCAGCGATGTGCTGGTGAGACTCGTTTCAAGGACAAGCAGCTGTGCGCGAAAGTCCAGATTTCTCCTAGGAGCAGAGGTCGCCCGGTTGGAAGTGGGATGGCCGGAGAAGTAATAAATAGGAAAGGAGGTGCGGGCGAAGGCGCCGGGTCGGTCTCTGAGGTCATCACAGCAGAAGAATCCTCCAACCTGCAGGACCCGCCGCCGCCGTGGGACGTGAGGGATCCCAACCCGCAGCGGCCCCGAGCCCCCAGCGCTCCTTACAGCCCAGAGCCGCTCAGCCGTCGCTCAGACAGCGGCTGCAAGGGGCCGCCGCAACCCGTGCTGCGTGCGAATCCCATCCCAGAGCCCGGGTAAAATCGCATCGCTTAAAAAAAAGAACGCGTGGAAACAGAAGCCCCAGAAGTCCCCACACCTCGCGTGTCTCCGCCTGAGGTATTGGTTTACAAAAAGAGTTCCTTGAACACTGTAGGATTCAGGTCTTTGCTTTTAAATATAATTTACCTTGCTGAGACAGCAAGTTAAGTTTATAAAGATGCATTTAGGAAACAATCCTAAAAGACAGCGCAGGTCCGCCCCCTGCACCTCGCAGAGATCCTGTTCACACCTCCGCCTTTTGTACACTTTCACATCTTGACCTTTTTTGTTTCCTTTTTTTCTCTTTTTCTCTCCCACGTCTCCGTTTTCCGCCCCTCTCCGGACTGCGGGCACCGAGAGGCAACGTTTTGTTTTTGTTTTTTTTTGTTTTTATCTACATAAATATTCACATGAAAATCGTAACTTACAAAAAAGAAAAAAAAAAAAAAACAAAAAAAACCAAAAAAACAAACAACAGAAAAAAAAACAACCAAGTAAGGCAGCTCCATAACACGACTTTCTTTTACACTTTTAACAATATAGCTTCTCCCATTTAGAATAAATATACATCCAATGTATGAGCGGGGTTAAAAATCGGACGCGGTGAGGCTCGCGTGGCCGGAGGGCGCGGGTGCAGCATTATCTCTTGGGGCCCGGCGTTCTGGGGGTGGCAGTGCTCGTCTTCTTGGACATGGTGGGGATTTTGGAAGGCTTTGCGCCGCGCCGGGAGCCGGCCGCGCTGCTCTCCGAGGTGTCGGAGCACGCAGACTGCGTCTCCAGCAGGTCGAAGTCCGACGCGTCGCTGCCCCGGCGGCTGCTGGCTCTGCTGCCCGCGCGGCTGCCGGCGCGGCTGGTGGGGCGGCTGGCGGCTTTCTTGGGGTCTGCGGGGAGCGCGGAGCCCTCAGGCGGCCGCTCGCAGCGCAGCCCGCAGCTCCCGGCTCTGCCCGCCGCCCCGCTCCCCCCCGGCCCCGGTCGGTCCCTGCCCCGCTTACCTGCCCGGCCGCTTTTGGCCCCCGAGGAGACGGGCGAGGAGCTGTTGCTGGTGTCCCCAACCAGCGAGGTGCGGCTGGAGTGGAAGGTGGGACGCTTCAGTTTGCTGCCTGCTCCCGGCGTCACCTGCAGGAGGGACGGCAGCGCTGAGCAGCGCGGCACAGAGCGCAGCGCGACGCGGTGCCCGGCCGGCATCCATCTTAACGGCCAGGGGGAGCACGAGGTGGCATTTTGGCAGCGGTTAAAAAAAGGCATAACATAAAAACAAAGCGGGTCCTGAAATGACTCAGAGCTCAGAGCCGACCGACGGCCAGGCAGGGCGGACAGAAGGACCAAATGGGCACTGAGGGCGATGGCCAGCTGCTCTGGGCACGAGGCTGTGCCACACACAGGTGCTTCCCGTGACCTTTAAGATGCTGCAGAGGAAGATGGGGAAGCAGCACAACCCGCAGCGTCGCTCCCACTGCTGCAGAGGAAAGCGAGGGGAGGAGGCACAGCCCGGCCCCAGCCCAGGACAGTGGCTCCAGTTTCTGGAATGAAGCAAAGCTCATCCTGGGGAGTGCTGGGCACAGCACACGGACAGCCCCAGCCTCTCGTGCTGCTGTCCTGTGCCCCACAGTGTGGCTCAGAGCAACGTGAGGCCCCACTGTGTGATCTTTGGGATCTCCCGAAACTGGAGCCAGGGTGGGGTAGGCAGGAGGAGGGGAGCCAAGCAGTGGGCTCTCCTTCCGCCCCAGCAGGAATTCAGATCCGTTATGGTGTGATTGTGGAGGTACCGTTCCCACTGCAGAGACCTCGATTCTCATCCTTGATCAGAAACAAGCACAGCAGCAAGCAGGCAGCGCAGGGCAGCGCACAAAGTGCTCCCGACCTTCTGCTGATCTCAAAGACGGCCTGATCTGCTCGAGAGCACTTCCAGCCACCACCAAGTTATGCTGCTCCCCTCAGCGAATCGCCCTCTCCCCCGGCGCTCCTCATCCACACAGTGAAGCCCCAGGGAGGAGCTGCATCCGATGGAACGAAGCCGCCCCCCAGTGCAGCGCAGACCCCACGTGTTTGCATCGGAGCAAAGTGGATCCCATGCATGCGCTGTAGCTGATTTTCACGTCTGAACTCGGCCATCTGAATGCCAATCACCGCCTCTTTGGGATGCTCCAAAGCTCTGAGAGACTCTTTTCTTTTTTAAGGGCACACAGTAAACGCTCAATCCTTTGGTTTGCAATCAGAGAAATGCGTGCTGTGAGCATTATCCCGAGGCTGGCGCTTGGTTTGGTCTGAGTCAGAAGCCCATGAAAAATGCTACCAGCCAGCAGTGCTTGCAAGCGCTGCGCTACCAGAGGGAAGCCAGGAGCTCCGCCTGCAACAACGGGTCCTGGGGCTGCGGGAAAGGACCCTACCTCAGAGCTGGGGAGCTGGAGGTCGGGGTAATCAGATCCCCGCAGCGGGGAGCCCGCTTTACTGTTTATCAACCAGGGTTTGTCATAACATCGAGAGAAGTGATGAGGAGTCTGTGGAATGGAAAACCCAGAGAGGGGGGAGAGGCAGGAGTGAGTGAAAAAAAAAAGATGGAACAGAAAAGTAAACTAGAATGAGAGGAAAAGAGAACTAAAATGAAATGAGAACCAAACAGGAAATAAATAACAATAATGAAAAAAATCAACGAACGGGCGATGGAATGAAACATGGCAGATGAGGTGGGGGGAGCAGGCGCCCCTCTCCCCGGGCTGCGGCACAGCTCCACCGCTGCGGACGGGCGCCGTCCCACCTGGGGCTGAGCTGCAGGCCGCCCCACGCACCCCTCCCACACCTTCCTCCTCCTGGCACTGCAGCGTCTGTCTCGTGGAACGGGCTGCCACAGGAAGGCCCTCCCCCCGGCCCTACCTTGGCTCCGCTGGCCGGGGTTGCGGGAGACGACGGCATCGAGGCGCAGCTGTGGTTGCTCTGACTGGCGCTGGAGCTGGAGCGCGTTGGGGACGCCGCCCGGGAGGACGGTTTGGACCTGCGGCCCCGCGAGCGGAACGGCGTCATGCCCTGTGAGGCGCCCTCCGGCAGGATGAACTTCTCCCGGAGCTCGAGGTTGGTCCGTCCTCGTGCTGGAAGGGACACGGAGAGGAGAGCTGAGCGAGGCGGCACCGTGCCCACGATTGGGGATGTCATCCATGCCCTCAGTGCTGCTCCGGTCTCCTGCCCACCCATCTCACGACGTGGATTATCTCTCTGAGAATTCGTCTGCTTAAAAGCTGCCCGAGTTCCACAAATCCAAAGTGCCTGCATTGCTGTTCTCTGGTTTCTTGGGGAAATCATGTCGGAATGGCCTTTAAACGTGGCACGTTACAACAGTGGCTGTTGCTCAAAGTGGCTTAAGAACAGCTTTGAAAGGCTGTGGTTCTGCTCTTGGCTCTGGGCAGCTCTTCACCGATTTTAGGGGGCAGGTGAGAGTGGGAAGCTAAAGGCCAACGTCAACATTTCAGTCCAAATGTCGCCAAGAGTTGGAGGGTCTCCCTCTGAGCGAGGGCAGCCCCACAGGGAGGTCGGTGGGCTCCCAGCGCCGGGCAGCTCCAGCGTGAGGCCACGCACTGAGTCACTGGAGCAGAAAGCCAAAGGAGCAGTTGTAGAACAGAAGGATGCTGACACATCCCGTGGGTGGAAATAACTTTGGTGTCAGTGCTTCCCCGTTAGGAACTTGGCCAAATGCTGAGCTCTGCCCCAGCGCTGCCAATTCTCACTATTTTAAGTCCAGTCATTTGCT